TAGTTAAAAACAAACATCATGACAATTAAAAATTCTGTGTTCTTTATTTGAGCTAGTTGAAAACAAAAATCACGATAATTAAAACTCTTGTGTTCTTTTTTTGAGCTAGTTAAAAACATAAATCACGATAATTAAAACTCTTGTGTTCTTTATTTGAGGTAGTTAAAAACAAACATCATGACAATTAAAAATTCTGTGTTCTTTATTTGAGACTTTAAAAAACGTCGTTAGTTACATTGTAACAATAAATATTTCAGCACGTGTTGTTTTTCCGTTTTCACTCTATCAACAGATTTACAAACAAAGACGTTTTACAACGTATACAATATTCATAACTGACACAAACATGTATTCTACACGAGCTGTGCGATACCACATCACCCGTTTTATTGAAACAACAATAAAATCTATTTATCTTAGCCGTAGATAAAAATTTACATCCTGGTTAAACACACACAAAAAAAAACACCTACTGCAGAATGAAGAATCTGTAGCTTGGTGTTTGTGTTTATGTGGATAGCAACTGTTATTCAGAGATATAATGACTGAATTTTGGACAAACGCTTTCTAATAAATCAAATTAATAGTTACAGTAGCTACAGCTTTATTACAGAATCCAAAATACGTTTAGATAAATAGTTTAAAATGCTCTTAAATACAAGAAAGCATTCTGGCAATTACTGGTCAATTTTAAAAAGTATAAGGAACTACACTGTTACAATTGGTGTTTCATTATTAGTAGTCTGATGTAGTATAGCAAATATTTATGAATTTATGAATATTATTTTTTAATTCCTGACTTAAAGTGTTTCTATTTTCCAGGTTAGCAACATGTTTATCATGAGTCTGGCTGTTGCTGACGTCACGGTAGGCATGATCGTTATGCCAATCAGCTCAGCCTACGCCATCACCGGAAACTGGAGATTCGGGATCATCGTCTGCCAATTCTGGCTGTCGGTGGACTACACTGCAAGCACGGCATCTATCCTGAACCTGTTCATTCTCAGTTTGGACAGGTACTGGTCAATACGCTCGCCTCTGAAGTACATGAGGAAACGAACCAAAAAGCGGGCCCTCATCATGATTGGAATAGTGTGGCTGGTGTCTGCTTTGTGGATTGTTCCAATTATTGGGTGGCATTTTTGGTATAACAATGGCATTCGTAAGCACCCTAGCGATGTGTGCGAGACAGAATTCGCTGACAATGTGTTCTTCAAACTTTCAACGTCTACCGCCAACTTTTATTTACCCCTGGTGTTCATGATTTGTTTGTATGTGAAGATCTTTACTGAAATTAAGAAAAGAAGCCATTTTGAAATCGGACAGTGTAATCAGGGTCAGGAGAGAAAGGAAATAGCTAAGGATTCTATTAATCCATCTGAGTGTAACACTGAAACGGAACAAAATATCCGAATGAAAAAAGTAAGATGGCGCTCAGCAGGAAGCCAAACTCCTAAAGACTTCGAACAAGACCAGAAAATCTCAAATCCTCTTCACGAAGAATTATGTGATTGTGAAGAAGAGGGAAAAGGACAGGATACGAACCTCGATCCAACCCCTAACCAACTTTCTGAAAGTGGGAGGAGACATTCCAAAATTCTTAAAAGGAATTGTCGCTATCGGCAGTTGACCTTGTTATCAGTCCCCACGCTCAACAGTGACAAGGAACTCTACAATGAACATTTCGATAACGTCGTCGTAAACGTCGAAGTTGCTAGCGACAGTGAAGAGAAAGGTTCGGGGTTTCTTGGAAGTGGAAAAGTGGAAATGTATGATTCACGTCCATTAACTTTTTTATCTTCACCAGGAAATCGTGGCATAAGGCCAAGAAGGTCGGGATTTGGAGTTCGAAAACCTCACAGTCGCAAAACAAATTGTAATAATCTTGGCCAAGACAACATTGAACTCAATACCATGGTAGACCAGTTACTGAAGCCCGAGATTGGCCATTTCAGTAGAAATTGGCATTCCCAAAATATTGAAAACTCGCTCTACGTAAAACCTTGGGATTCTCTGACTCGACCTAGAACCGGCTCAAGTTTCCGAGCCGGAGCCGGATTTCTGCCTCACTTCACCACAACATTCCCAGTGAGGGTTACAAGAAAAACTCTGGCATCCAACCTGAGGCAGCAGAAGAAGGCTGCTCGTCAACTGGGAGTTATAATGGGAGCTTTTGTATTGTGCTGGCTTCCTTACATTATAATTTTCATTGTGACAGCTTACTGTGAGGACTGCATTAATCCAAAAATCCACACAGCTACCATCTGGCTGGGCTATTTGAACTCTACAATGAACCCATTTTTGTACGCCTTGTGTAACGACAATTTTAAGAGGGCCTTTAAGAAAATATTTAGGAGTACCTCCAAGCGTCCCAACTTCTTCACAGCTTCAAATACCATAAGAACGGACCATCGTTTTGCCTGAGGGCTTTGTTTGTTGTTTAGCACAAAGCTATACAAGGACCTATATGTGATGTGCCCTCCGCGGGTATCTAAACATGAATTTTAGTATTATAAGCCCGTATACTTACCGCTCAATTTCCGGGGAGCTGTTACAGTATAAAGTTGCGCAATACTCACAACAGGGATCAAACCTCATATTTAAATATTATAACTTCTCAAACCTGCCACTGTAAAGCTGCCGAAGGACTTGGTTGGTTTTTTTCTTTTGATAATTAACTTGCCCTCTTGGGCATTTTTTTAATCACACAAAATATTCAGAAATTATTCGAAACCAAAACGTAGGACAATAACGGTTTTGGATTTTAAAAAAATCCCTATCTGTAACATGTTTGTTTTTAAAACTACGGTGTAAAGCTGTACAGTAAGCTATGGGCGATGTATCTGTTGCAGGAATCGAACCCCGAATTTTAGCCTTATAAGCCATTAAGCTTACCACTGACCCGCGAAGTAATAATAATGATACAGTGAACTTCCTTCTCCGGTGATGTAGCTGGAAGTAAGCTTGAAGTCTTGTAACGCTAAAATTTGGGGATCGATACACGCGGTTGGCACAGAGCAGATAGCCCGTTCTGTAACTTTCAGTCCAACAATAGTATATTACATAAAATCTCCTGTACTTCCTCCAGTCCAACAATAGTATATTACATAAAATCTCCTGTAGTTCCTCCAGTCCAACAATAGTATATTACATAAAATCTCCTGTAGCTCCTCCAGTCCAACAATAGTATAAACTACAGGAGATTTTATGTAATATACTATTGTTGGACTGGAGGAGCTACAGGAGATTTTATGTAACCTCCAGTCCAACAATAGTATATTACATAAAATCTCCTGTAGTTCCTCCAGTCCAACAATAGTATAAAATAGTTAATTTAAGTCAACTGTCTATGAAAATAATTAATTTAAGTCAACTGTCTATGAAAATAATTAAGTTAAGTCAACTTTCTATTAAATTGGTAAAGTTAAGTCAACTGTTTGTAAAAATAGTTAATTTAAGTTAGCTGTCTTTGAAAATGGTTAATTTAAGTTAGCTGTCTATGAAAATGTTTATTTTATGTCAATTTTCCAGCAAGATGGTTAATGTATTTAACAAAAATGGTTAATTTAAGTCAACTGTCTATGAAAATGTTTATTTTATGTCAATTTTCCAGCAAGATGGTTAATGTATTTAACAAAAATGGTTAATTAAGGCAACTTTTCAGGATATTCATACGATAAGCGACCTTCTTCCACTCGCATGCCAACATCTCCAGTCTAATTGCTGTAAAGTTGCCATAGTCAGGACCTTGACATTGTAGCCAATGTCGTACACCCCATCTGAAAATCCAGACACCAGTGTCCCACACGCTTCAAGCCGTGTCTTTTTATCTGATGTGGTTCCTATTCTATCAATAAAGTGTTTCAATGATTCATGAAAACTCTGTGTTTCTATCAGAAATTAGCCTTCCTGCAAAAACAACATGGGATTTTATGTAATATGCTATTGTTAGGCTGGAGGAGCTACATGAGATTTTATGTAGTTCACGATGGATGAGTGGAAGAACTACATGAGATTTTATGTAATATGCTATTGTTAGGCTGGAGGAGCTACATGAAATTTTATGTAATATACTATTGTTGGACTGGAGGAACTACAGGAGATTTTATGTAATCATAGACAGTTGACTTAAATTAATTATTTTAATAGAAAGTTGACTCAGATTTGCCAATTTAATAGAAAGATGACTTAAATTTACCAATTTAATGGAAAGTTGACATAAGTTAACCATTTTCCAGTTATTCAATATAAATTAATCATTTTCCTATGTAGTTGACATAAGTTAACCATTTCCTAAGCAGTTGATTTAAATTAATCATTTTTTCAAGTAAAAATAAATTAAAATAAAGTAAAATACGAGAAGTTACTCTGCCCTAATAGGGTTTATTAAACAATATTACATCTTCTATACTTGTTTATTCTTTATTTTAAAAACTACTGGCTGTTCATAACTCTCAGTAAAAGAGGCAATATTCTGAAGCTTCTTTTTTTATTCAACGGTAATTCAAGTCAATCTCATATTGGAGAATAAAACAACATTCGACGTTTCTTCTCTCAAGCAGCAGTCTGAAGAAACTAATTAAACAAGCTTCTGTGACACTCGAAAAACGAGAGTTTCTACTTTCTTTATTTTTAACGAATAATTAATTGGACTGATTAATTTTTTGATGTTTAAAGGCCATACATCTGCCGCCGTGCACGAAGTAACAATTAAAAGTTCAATGCGTCTGAAACGATTATATATTTTTTTGAATTTATTTTTCTCTTAGCAGACCACGTCGTCTTACCTTCAGCAAACAAGAAAGATTAAAACATAATGTTAATAATTTACTCTTGTTTTATAATGAACTATTTCGTCCTGATGTATTGAAACTTTATATATTGATCATTTTATTACAGTTCTATAATTAGTCTTCCGTTTATGTTATTACTGTCGTATTTATACGAAACTTGCAGCATGTCTATTTAATATAAAGTAAAAGCTCAGGTCTTTCCATATTTAATAATTTTACTGTTACAGCAGCTAAGTGAAACAATATAATAATTTTACTGTTACAGCAGCTAAGTGAAAC